TGAGTTTCTTTTCTTGCTATCTTAGGATATGAAGTTTAAATTTATTCTTTTCTTTGTACAAGAGTTATATTCTCTTTTCTTGTAAGAGAGCTGTATTTTCTTTGCTTTGTAAGAGAGTTAAATTAAATTTTAATAAAAACAGAGACATGGTCTTACCATTAATATTAAAAAAAAAAATATTTTAGTAAGGTATTAAATATATACAAAATTTAGCAAGAAATTTTTTTGTTAGAACAATTGAAAATAGTTTTATAGGCAAATTCTTGAGATATTAGCATTTCTTTAAAAAATCTTTGTTGTTACACAAATTGATTTATACGTTACATCTGATCCTGCAAATCTATTGGCTAATTATATACAGATGATGATCACCACTGGTTATAGTTACTAAATTCAATAAAAAAATTGTAATTTTATTTTTTAATAGTTATCTTTTTCTAAGTGTAAGTTGCCAAAATAAGAAAAAAATTTAATATAAAAAACAATTAAAATCATGCATTTAAAGAAAAGTTGCATTTAGAGAATACAAAAACTCTATATACTTGAAACCAAAAAAAATCCTGCATTTAGAGAAAATTTTATTAAGAGTTGCACTTAGAGAGTTAACTATATTATAAATTTCTTTTTATAAAGCTTAAATAGTAATTAAAAAATAAGAACAATTTAATTGTTACACGCATTATTTGTAATATATTATATAATCAGCTGTTGTAAATATACTTTTTTAAAAAATAAAAATAATCTTATTCTCAAAGTTAATTAATTTTTTAACAAATTTTACTATTTTCGTACAAGTAACACTAATCAAAATAAACCAACAGTTAGCTGATTCAACATAATACTAATTGACTTGATCCGGATTGGTGTGCGTCGATTTAATTGTTTTGGTCAGATATGTAATGTGCGCCATCATATGCAAACACAAAAATAATTGGTTATTAAGGTTAAGAATATTTTTAGTTTCAGCTTTTCAAACTTTATAATAAGAAACCTATAATGCTGAAGAATAAACTCTGTAATATAAAATAATATCGCAACTTCTTTCCACTAAATAAATAATGGGAAACATTTTTTTGTCGCAAATTTCATATCAGATATGAAATCTTAGGTCAGTGTTGGCAATTTTGGCTTCCAGTGGGAATTTCTAGCCTTTCAGTGTGATTTTGTAATAGTAAAAGTTCCTGTTCCACTATTAATTTTACTTCCGCCAACACTGGTCTTATTGGTATTAGGTGTGTCGATCATTGATCATAGAAAAATTTATTCCCGACTAATATTGAAATTAGTAGTTGAACAGTACTCAAGTAACGTTAATTTAGTAGGAGGATACTGTAGGTAACGCTACGTATACGGTTCTAACTCATACACTAACCTGATCCCAACTCTAATAATACGTAATGCTCATACTAATATAGATTTTCGTACTAATATATATTTGTTAAAGCATTGTTTAACCTTATTCCAATGCAAAACCTTATTACATAAGAATAAAAAAAAGATTACAATCCGCAATTAACATTAAGTGTAACAGTTAAGAAGATTCTATATTTAGTTTTTTTCCTGCAATGAAGAAATACGTATGACTTAAACGTCACTATATAACGATAACATCCATGTAATCGTGTAGTATCACAAGACATAATAAAGATATGTATGTATCACAAAGACATAATAAAGATATTAAATTTGTAACGTGATTTAATTACAGAAGGACTAATGCAAAAGCTAAATAATGTTTACTGTAAACAGATTAACCCGATTCTATTTATAAGAACCACAAATTACCAGTCATTTGCCACAAAGATGTAAAATTAGCGTTCATAAGCCTCAGATTGACATAAAGTTGGCATAAAATATTCTATGTGGATTTTCTAAATTTCGGTCACAACCACTCTGATCGTTTGTTTATTTACAATATATATTTAGTAAATTTTATATTAACGTTATCTTCTTTTGAACAGTAGTTTTATTCCATTGCTATATTCATACTATATGGTGAATCTATACCTAATTCGAGGATAAGCGAAACAAGGGATAAGAAATTATTTTTAATATGGTAATTGTGTCAATAAGAATTATGAAGAGGATCAGATAATTACAAGTAATCATCCAATCGTTTCAAAGGTGTAACTACTTGTGCTCAAAACTCTTCGTGGTTAATGTATGACGATATGTATATTCGACTTTGCCCCTAATTTTTCAAACACTTGACACCTTCACTTACAGTTGTATTATTATTTTCTGTTCCTTTGGCCCTCTAGTCTTGATTGAGCAACCAACAATTCGAAAGGATTAGCTGGTTCGCCTTTTGGCTTTTTTTTTCACTAACAGAATTGTGTGTCTTGTTTTTGCTCATTGAATAGTCTTTTAGACACCTCGTAACTTAATACCATCATCTCGACCGGGGGGAAGTCCGTGAGAGAACTGACAACGTATTTGAAAACCCATTAAAGCAATAGGGTCTTGTGTGTCTGGCTACCGCTGATCCCTGCTTCCCTCTTTAAACAAACTCAAAATCGTCTACGTTTGAGGTTTTTTTGGCTTTGTTTTTTTTTTTCATTTCTTTACTTTCCTTAAAGTAAGTACTGTATATATTATTTTTTAAAAAATTTTTGCTCGATAACTTTTAAGCATTTTTAATTCATCTAAAATCTTACATATAGCATATTAGGCATTACTAGCATATATCATATAATGGCATTACTACGACACAACCAGATTTACATTTTATTTATTATTGTATTATTATTCATCGCAAATGTTGCAAATGTAAATGCTCAAGCATCAGGAGCGGCATCAGGAGGACTACCAGCAGCAACACTACCACCACCACCACCAGTAGCTACACAGGCTCCACCGCCTGCCGCTAGCGAGCCTGCTAGTGTAAGTCTAAGTTTTATAAATTTGGTTTATCAGGCTTACACATTAAACATTCTAACATAATATATAACAAGATCATTTTACAATTATGTAGGTAGGACCACCAGCACAAGCTACAGATTCGCCACAACCGCAACCACAATCAGAACCTCAAATTCAACCCACAACACCACCACAACAACAACCTTCAGCTCCCAAGGCGGCACCAAGTTCGCCAGCTCAACAACAAAAATCAGCCAAACAAATTATCACCGCAACTAATAATGGGCCTGTTGCTATCACTATTACATCTACATCATTCGTAGATACCCCAACTGGTAAACCAAATGTTAATAGTCCCAATAGCAACGATAATTCTGGTTCTACCAGTAGTATTATCACGGCTGCTATCGTTGTTGGTACCGTGGTTGTTGCTGCTGCTATCGGCATATGGATATTTAGAAAATGGAAACTTACGGTATATATATCTATCTATATATTTACATTATTGTTTTAATACGCGATCAATTAATTAATTTTATTTTATTTTTTTTGTAAAAAAAGCCATCACGAAACTTCAAAGAAAAGATTCAACCTGTTGATTTTGGGCCACGTTCAGCAGAATCAGATGAAATATTTTTACGTGGATTACATGAACCTTAAAAAAACAAAAAAAAAAAAATTTTTATTAATAAGGATATTAAACGATTCAAATAATTGTGCAAAGATTACCCCGAAGACCAAATCAGGAATTGTCAAAAATTTCCCTGTATTTTTTTTATTATTATTATTTCATTGTACTTTTACACCATGTATTCTTTCCAACAAAAAAATTATGCTCCATCAAACATTTAAATAGTAATATACACATTAGAATACATTTACGAGATAGGGGTTTAATTCATTTATACAAAGGAGCGGAAACATTATTATTTTTTTTTCCAAAATAATGTATTGGTTAATTTTTTTCGGATTAGGAAAATTTTCCATACAATGTAAAACTTGTTGGAGAATTAATTATTTATTTCAAGCAGGTTGTTATTATAAAGAAATTTATAATGCTTAATGTTTATTACACTTTACATGAATAATTTTTATTAGGTTTTTTTTTCTTCACGAATATATAAAATAGATATATAAAAAAACAAATTACATTGTTTTTTGATATTATCAAGGTGAATTCATGAGATCACATACATTGACAATTTGAAAATATTTAAAATTTGTACCTTATCACTTGAAGAATTATTAGTATAAGAGGGCTGTTTGATAATAGGATTTGATCAATCTTTCACACAAATGTCGAGGATCGAATTTTTCTATAGAAATTAAATTATTACACTCCCGGTGTTATTTTGAGCTTATCCGAGGTGTTTTATGCCATTCCTGATACGATTATGAAAATTTACACTCATCTAGTAAGAGATAAGCAAAAATTTTATATATTCATATTAGGAATGGCCAAATAAGTTACATGAAAATCATTCAGTGATCTCAAGTTTGTATATGATAATAATATATGATAATTGGATGGAACTAAATTATGGTGTGACTTTCGTCAACGTCATAATCATAATCACTGTTTCTAAGTGAATAATCAATTATCTGAAACATGATAGATAAATTATTACTTATATGATAGTCAGATATTACGTTGTTTATCACCCAGAATCTTTTTTCCCCAAACGGCAAAAGTAATGTAGAACTATTCATTTGTCAGTAAAGACTAATAGTCTACTAATTATCAAAGAATTCAGGTAATAGGTTAAAGTTGTTACTTCGACATCATTAAAAAAAATACATAACCAGCTGTCCTTAATGAATGTCTTAAAACGAATAGTACGTACGTATACAAGTTTCCATTTCTAAATATTAATTCGAAACATAATATTGACCTTATAAGTTAGCTCGTTTAAGAAGTGTAATTATCTCGAATGAAAGATCTTAAATTACGATTTTCACTCTTTATATATGGATTTATTTACACGTGAAAGACGCATGGTTGCACAAGCTGCAAAAATATGATTGACAGTACACATTATAAAATAACTGGTGTTTGATAAAATTAAATGAATATTTGCTTCAAATATTTAATCAACGAATAATGCTTTCTAATTCTCCAATCTTTTCAATTAAATAGACTATTCATCAACTTTTGGCCACCAATCAGGTACAAATGGTTTTACTCTGTATACCTCCCCTCGCCCACTAGCCACAATTAAATTTTCGTCTTGAACTTTATCTAAATTTAGTAACGCTAATGCAATATTATTACAAGAAGACCCTATAGCACCTATCGGACGACTTTTTTTACTTAGTGTCTCTATTGATGCGTATATACCAGTTGAAGATGGGGGTAATGGAAAGTCTACGGTACGATCAACTTGTAACGTAGTCGGTAAACTATTATTTTTTTTTTTTTATATATTAGTTTTTTGCTAGTTTATATTTATATAAACGATTAAATTTTTTAATTACCTTTCATCTTGATGAACTAATTGCACGGGAATAATTCGTTTCCTTGTTACACCAACATAATAGGTTCGAAATGTGAGTTCTTGACCAATGTAACAACCTTTATGCCAATCAACTTTTTTTTTAAAAAAAAAAAGAAATCGGGTTTAATCATTAAAAAATTAATAAAATACAAAACGATCAAATGATGTATTTGCGTGATACTTACTTCCTCTCATGTAATCAAAATTACACTGTAATGGTAATGATGATCCTGGCGGTAAGTCTTCAATCCCTTCAGGGATACCGTACAAAATTCGACGAATTTTATATTCATTCGATGGCAACTGTTTAAATGATGATGGAACTGATGCTGATAGTAATATAAAATAATTAATAAAAATAATTATTTTTTTACCAATATTTGGTTTAATATAATTTTTAATCCAGTTTCACAAATACTTACGTGTTGTGTCGAATGGAAGTACGAATCTCAGTCCCATATAAGGACACCTCTTATCCTTACATCCTATTTCAGCAATCCTTTCTTTTAAAACCAAAGATCCTATTGGTAATTTGGTGGCTGAAAGATTTGGTACCTGATACCGCAACCATAGATTATCTATATTTCCACCCCACATATTCCAAACATTATATTGAGATGATACGTCATTAATTGAAACTTTGGATCTGAGAACGTATTTTTTCATATGTTTTATAAGATCTGATACAATTCGAGAATCACATTCTATCAAATAGATTTGATGTGGAAATGTTGTACCCACGTTTTTTGGATAGACAAACGTGTCGTATAGTACGCGACCCTGTTCATCAAATTGTTTTTATTAATACATGACTTTTTTTTTTTCAATTGCTCTCAATTTATGATAAAAAAAAAAAAAAACTTACAACTGGATTCAAGAATGCTGAATAAAATCCATCGCCACCAGATTGAATTGATGGCATATGATTTGTTATTAGTCCCTGCAAAAATTTTACACCGTCTTCGCCATTAACTTCTACCAAACTACGATCAGGCACCTGGACATAATGATCACTTTGTAAAGTTGACCCCGAGACTAGAAATAATATTTTAATAATATTTTTGTTTATTTTTGGTTGGTACTTAAGTGGTCCTGTAATAAATAAACTTACGTTGTCTTTTTAACGCCAAGCTACGAACATAAATAAACCTACGTTGTCTTTTTAACGCCAAGCTACGAACCAATGTTTTCCATTTATACATTGTTGGTGTCGAATGCAATAATAGAGAGTTGTCATTTTTTTCTTGGCATTAAGATTTGATTATCAGTATATTATACATTTATAGACATTGATGATAAATATTCACGGGATAGTTTATTTGTGTTAGGCAGCTTATTGCAATGATAATATATAACGATACAGGTTTTTATACGATACACAAGCTTGATATAAATTACAGTGCTCTTTAGATATTTAAAAAATTTAAAGGGTAGGTTATAACAGCAATAGCATATCTACACTAGGCAATAGACATATTACACCAGATAACAGAACGCCTATTTAAACTACTTTATGTCAACGTATTGTCAAGTTTATAAAATATTCCATTCACTGCTTCTTCTGACTTTATAGTGTTCGCTTTTTCATTCAATATAAAATTTCCATCAGCACCCTTCTTCACTCTGATTTTTGTCCCCTCAAGTAAAGTATCAAGCTCATCTCCACTATGAAGTTTTAATGACTGTGGAACGATATGTGCCAACACAAAGTTACGTATTTTTTTTATAGGATCTTCTGATGAACTAGTCACATAACTAGGTTTATTCGTGGAATTATGAAACACTGAATTTATAGGTGCAAACAGTGTTAAAGATTCATCTGGATTATCAAGCTTTTCAATCTTTTAAATTAAAGGATTTAGTTGAATAATATAGTTTGAATAAAATAGTTAATAAAATATTTATAAATATATATATATATATAGATATTTATATATGTGCATAACAATCGAAGAAAAAATACATACAATATCACGAAACATACGTAAATAATCCACAAAAGTCGTTAAATCTTTCTCCATGGGTAATACATCATTTAAAGTAGAAGGTCCCTTAGGAATTGTATAATCGTTTATTTGTATATTGATCATATTTCCTTCAAAAACTGTATTATCATAAAAGTATTCAGGCTCTATTAGTTGTGCCCAACAAGTCGATAATATGAAAAAGTACGTTAAAAAAGTTATAAACGTCATATTTCGTTGGATTTTCGAACTTTGTCGTTTTTTTACCGTTTGGTCGAAAAAAAAAGAAAATTCGTTGGCTAATTTTTTCGTAAAATCAGTAATCCAATACGTATATATATAGCTGATATATGCATATTTGTATACTATGTATATATCTTGTGATTTAGCCAATTTCCCACAAAATTTCGTATTTGTTACAGTACTCGTGTAATATATAAATATTGCGTATGTGGAAAATTTGGCCGGGACGCCCCATTTTTTTATTAAAAAAAATGTCTATGTTATGTTTGCCAAAGCGGAGGAAAGCGAAGTGAAAGCATTCAAACTTTATTCCACCATTTAAAGAAATCCAATTGAAAAAAAAACTCTCAAAAAAAGCAAAAAGCTATTTGTAATTTAATGTACGTACGTAAAGAATTTAACTAATTTTAACCCTGGGTTAAAATTGTAAATTTTAACCACCTATAACGATAATTTTATTGTAAATTGTAAAATAACGTACGTACGTCATATTTTACCGATCGATAATAAATTATTGTGAGGGACCAGCATGAGGTTGGTCCAACGTGAGGTTAATTAGTATTTTTTATGATTACTAATCATTGGCGGACTTTAAATACTAATTAACCTCACGTTGGACCAACCTCATGCTGGTCCCTCACAATTATTAACGTTAAAAAAAAGCAATTTTATTTATTATTATTATTTTTTTATGTTATATATATTCAATTTTTATTTTTTATAATAACAACTATTACTTTTATTAGTCGCGTAAAGTTTTGTTGAAAACCCGCATTTTCACGAATTCCGGAAATTTGCGTCGCACCTGATAACGAGTCACAATTTGAATAACTTTGCAAGACAATACTTGCCTATCCATTTTTAGCCTATCGATGTTGAGGTTTCGAATCTTTACAAGATTAACTGGTTTTATTTTTATATTGACAAATAATGGTATAAAAAACCCTTCAATAGAAAAAACTTGAGTTTCATGGTTATGTTTATCCAATTAAACATCCAATTCTTCGCTAATTCCAATTTTTTTAACAAACTTGAAGTATTAAGAACCTAATATTTAAAGTTTGGTTTTTCATATTTGTTTAATAAAATATGTAAAACAGCTAGATTATGATTGTATTTTGAACAATCTATTATAATCTTTTACTGTATTTGTTCTAATTATTATATAATATTTAATAATTTTTCAAGATTGGAAATAAAAAAAATAAATTAATAAAATATTTATAATCTATATGGTAAAGAAAATAACTTTATTTTTAAAAAATATATATATATATTTTTTTTTGGTATTAAAGTGCTTTTTTTGCTACTGTATACTTTATTGAGTAGACAAGGTTTTATATATTTGAAGAGTACAAACTAGCTATATCTGTATTTTTGGATACCTATTTAAGTAATTTGGCTATTACTAAGTTTTATATTAAATATTATATCTGCTATCTTTCTATTTAGATTATTTATTTAAATTCTTTATACTGTTACAAAGTAGATTTTAGTGTGCATTTTACTTAGTTATTTTTAGTTATAAATATTCAATATTTGTATTTTTATATATATAGTTAAAATAGTATTTATTATTATATATTAGTTATTATATGTTGGGGATGATGCTGAAATCAGATGATGTTGAAATTCATATGATTATATGATGATCTTTTGTATAAACATCTAGTATTACTATTATCATTGGTGTTAGAGTTAGGGTATGAAAGGTTTTTTTATTTATTTTACATATATTATATCTAATTCCACTAGAGCAATTAAAATATAGTTGCTTACCCAACTTGTACAAATTATCACAAACTTACTACAAAATTGTACAAATCAAATTATCACAAATTATGGACTAACACTTCTCTACAATGTACAAGACAGGATCGACCAAGAAAAGACAATAACACCTCTTCTTTGGTGTATTTATTATAATCCTCTTATTGTATATATCAATAAAACCTATACTGGATACTCATCTATAGTTGAATGGATTACTCAACTTAATCCTATTAAATACAAAAAAACATCAGCTTTCACATCTGTATTAGTCTATATAGATGATACTTTGTGGTTTGCTAAATTACTTAAACAGTTATAACAAATAAAACAAACAGCATCCCTATTTTACAAAATGGCAAACATCAGAGTTAACCCACAAAAATCAGTATTGGTATCAAATACTA